TAGAGAGAAACCCAGACATCCCTCTTCCCAGCGACACTTTCCAGCTCATCCTGGGCCAGAGAGGATGCCTAATCCCTCCAGTGAGTCCTGGTTTTCCCCTGGGGGACCTCCTACCTGTGGGACATGCCCAAAACACCTCTAAAGGGAGGCTTCCAGGAGGCATCCTATTGGCCCAATAAGTTCTGACCAATCACACTGTGAGCTGCAAGGCAGGCAGGACTGAGRTCTGACTGGGGGCAAAGCACAAGATGGCTGTCAATGGGGGACAATAGATGGAAGTTGTGTAATTTTTTTTTTGCCACTCAGCAGAGTGAGCCAGACTTGAAGTATAAACCAGCCTTTAAGGCTGAGCCCAGCAGCCACCCTAAGGAAGCTCAGTTTGGCCGCTTGTATTCGGAACCTCGTTCCAGTCAAGATCCACYCCTCATGACCGTAGGTGAGGGTTGGAACAGTAAACCAAGAGCTTTGCCTTCCCACTCAGGTCTTTTTTCATCGTGTCTGACCACAGCAACCTCATCATTACTGAGGATGAGGCCCCAGTCCGCCGATCCATCTCCTGCTCAATTTCATGAACAAGACTCTCTGACATACAACAAAGACTTGCACCCTGCTAGCCTGGTAAAAACCGGACCCTTGTCCTTCGCTTTGCTTCGGACGTGGGTTTGAACTCTCAGCTATAGAGAAGCGATTCTTGCTTGAGGCGTGGCCTCTGCTGAAATTTAAAATGACTGGATTGGTTGGCCGCAAGTGCCAGCTCTACTGTGAAGGCGGCTAAGCTAAGAAGCTAACAGGAAATCACGTGCGCTGTAAACAACCCTACTGAGAGGAGAGAAGTACCGAGCCGAACGAGACGACTGTAAATGAGAGCTGCTGCTTTGTCAGACAAATTTAATTTAARTTGGAAGCCTTATCAACACGGACTGGCTTCATTCACTTCCTCCACTGCCGTATACTAAGCTAACTAGCATACATTGCGCAGAAAATGGACGTTCTGTTCTCTGATTGGCCCGGACGAAAATTTTCCTAAAGAAATATTTGTCTATGGGAGAGAAATCCCAGACMGAGCAGTGAAGAGAAACTAGAATTGAGCGGAACTGTGTAGGAAGGCAAGGGCCAGACTAGCACCCTGCAGGACTTCTATCTTTCTATCTATTAGTATGAGGTGACACACCATCTTTAATTCACATAAACCAAACCAATCTTATACGAAATCTGTTCAGAATAAAAACCAGCTCCATAAGTTTAAAAAATGTGCTGAATACTTGTTGTTCTTGWTTTCCATCATGCAACTGCTTAATGTGCAATGAATCCACATTGGTTAAAATGTAATTAATGTGTGTGCTGAAATGTTAACATATTCCTGGTAATAATTCGTAGATGATAGACAAACACTAGGACAACCAGCTTCAACCAGCCTGCAAACCCCCAACCCCTGGAGGCACACAAATATACAAATGTATGGACAATAAAGCCTGTAGCATTCGAATTGTGTCAGGTTTCTGTGAGCAGCACTTTTAGACCTTTGGTAATAAAATCCTGCTAACTGAGCTGAGAAAGCAGTGCAAGCAGAGTGGCACAGAACAAATTAATTAGCTGCTCAATAGCGGAGGAAGGGTAATTATCCAATCCGTGCTGACTGAATGGAGCAGGAGAAAGTGGCGCTGTAATTATTCAACAGCTTTTCAGAAGTGTGGCCCTTTGGCCCTTGAAGGCACGATGCATGAATTYTTTATTATTTTTTGTGTATGTGTGTGTGTTTCAAGCATCAATGGGTGAGATCGTTTGTCACGGAAACAGCTGATGAGACGAGGAGGCTGCAGATGAAGTGAGCGGAGAGAAAACAGGTTGATAAAAAGGAGAGCAGGCAGACAAATGATTTATTTGAAACACAGTTATCCAAAGTTATTTGTCCCTGTCTCCACTGTTATACCGTTTGCTGCAACAGCAGCTAAACACAATGTGAGCCTGAGAGCAACGTCGAGCAAAAACAGCATGTCGAGGCTTGAATTTGTGTTTCTGGTATTTGGGTTGGGCAAGAAAAGCGAGGGTAGGAACACTGTTTAAACAGCAGCCCTGATATGGAGCTCAGCACAAACAAATTACAGTAACAAATCGCTTACGTTACTGGTTTGCACTGAAAGATTTACTTTAGAAACAGATACTGGGACACTCCAAGTGCATGCTGATTACTTTCCAACTGGAAACTTACACAGAGAGAAATTTTTCCCAATTTTTTGAAATGTGGGATCTGCCTTGATTTGTCAGTCTATGTAAGGCATCCATCACAATATACAGTGGTTTGCAAAAGTATTCATACCCCTTGAACTTTTCCATATTTTGTCACATTACAAC